GCCCGCCGGCTACGAGCCGTCCTTCGCCGCGCCCTCCAGGCCCGCAGCCAGGGCCGCCACCTTCACCGAAAAGAAGAGCTGCCTCATGGAGGAGCTCTTCGGGCCCGGCTGTGTCCTAAAAAGCGACGCCCCGAGCCCTGACGTTGGCAAAGCCTCGGAGGAGGCTGCGAGGAGGAGAACGCAGCAGCGCCCGCCCCCGAGCCAGGCCTCGGCCAGCAACGCCTTCGGGGACTCGAGAGCCACCGTGGTAAACCCGTCCTCGCCCACCGAGGGGCGGAGGAAAACCGTGGGCTGACTGCGGCCGGCCAGCACTGGCCGCGTCCTCATCCCAGGGTGGCCCTGTGAGCGCCACTGTGGGCGACTAAGGTGCTTTACTATGAATCAGACTTTTCCAGAACACTAGGTTACTGACATTGATCACAACTGCGCGGCTGTAACACGGAACCCGCCCCTGCGCTTGGGGAGACTGACTTTATTATAGGGCTGCAGCACTCAGACTCCAAGGCTGGCGGACTCGGGCAGGCCAAGACCCAGGCCTCACGGGCACTTGACCAGCAATCAGATTGCCTTTAACTTAAAGCGCGCAGCAGCTTCGAAGGGAAACAAGTCAGTAGACTTTTAAAAAAAAAAAAAAAAAAGCAATCACCAACCCTGTTTTTGCGAGATTCTGAATGTTCTCAGTCAGCGGACCCGGGCACGTGGGAGCCCGTCTTTGCGGGTGACACTCCCCTCATCTCATGCTCACCCAGAGGATCATGTAGCTGCCGATCTGCACACCTGTACCCTGCCTTTTTTCGTGCTAGTGTGAAATTAAAAGCCCATTGCGGTAATAAACATGCCTCAGGCTAGCTGCTCGGGCAGACGTGGCTATGTTCCCAGTATTGCACCCCTGAGTCCGGACACAGGGCCCCACACCCCTGGCCACGGTGTTACCTACCCCCCGGGGCACACACTTCCCCAGGTGACACCCACACGCTTCTTTTAAAGTCGAGCGAAATACAGGTGGGAACTGTATTGAAAAGCAAGGATGAGGTAAATACAGGCGGCAAAGGCTCCGGTCTTTATGGCGGAGAAGCAGGAACCCAAGCGGGAGAGCCGGCACCCTCCTAGGCTGGGGCGGGCGGGGGGCTCCCAACACACGTGTGCTGCCGTGACTGCTGGGCCGTGAAGTCTGGGGAAGGGTGCGCCAGAGGTCTGGCAGTGGCGTCTGGACGCGCCATTATTCCGGTGTTACAGCACCTACCCTGCTTTACGAATTCAAGAGGCCTTTTTATGTTGCCAACTGACGACAGGAGCGCAAGTCAGAGCACTGAATCAGAGCTATCTAAAAGTGCTTCCGTAGGCAACGTAATAAAAAGATCATCTAAGTCGACTGCTTTCCCGTCATCTTTTTAAGTACAACTTTCCACTCACCTTGTTAAAAAATGACCTACAGTCATATGCCTAACTTCAAATCCTACTATGTAACGGTAATCAAAACCCTGGTACTGGTGCGGACACAGATGATGGTACAGAAGGGGAGTCCAGAAATAAGGCCTCATTGTCTAGAATGTCAAATGGCTTTTGACAAAGTCACCAGGACAACTCAGTAGGGGACAGTTTCCTCAACAAAAGGTGTTTGGACAACGACGTATCTAGATACAAAGGAATAAAGCTGAACCCTTACATCACTGGACACAAAAATTAGCTTATAACAGATCAAAGACCTAAATATAAGAGTTAAAATGGTATAAACCGGGCCTCCCTAGTGGCGCAGGGGTTAAGTCTCAGCAGTATGAAGCTGTCCGCAGCCCCTGCAGCACGAGTTCGATCCCCAGCCAGGGAGGGCCCACAGGCACAGCGGACCCTTCCTGTTTCCCCGCCGCTCCCCTCAGCAGTGTCCTTCAGTGGATCCACCTGTTCTGCTCCCCACTCTGTCTCTGGGGAGTCCTCTGAGCCCCGCACCTCTGGCCTGCACCCCAGCTCTGGTATGCATAAACAAGTCTTTTAAAAAAAATTTTTTTAAACCAAAATAAACTGTAAAAAATTACAGGCATCTTATCACCTCGGATTCAGTAATGGAGTCTTAGTTGTGATACCAAAGGCGCAGCGTCACCTACCCAGTAATTACTCAAGATTACACTGAATTCCAGTCGGTACTGAAGAGGGCGGCGCGCACTCGAGAGACAAACATGCAGCCAGCCAGCTCGCCTGCCACAGGGACCGGCTGGGCCAGGGAGGGCGAGCCAGCGCCAGGGCCACGTGACGTGCCATCGGACCTCGTGCAGTCTTGCACCTGCTGATGCGGGCAGAGAGGGCGTGGGCCCCTGTGAGCGGGCCACTCACGGGCAACTGTGCGCTAGCTGCTGTCCACAGAACATTCCTGGACTACCTACGGCGTAGAGCTCGCTCCACGCGCAGACCCCGGCCGCCCGCCGCAGCTGACCCGACTGCGTGGCACCTCCAGGGCGGTCTCGGGATAACGCCGCGGTGGTATCATACCTACGGTCACGATGTCCATGTCGCTGCCCCTTGTAAAACTTTGTCCCCCATTCCTGTCCTACCCTCTGGGTCCTATTCCTCATACCACTGCCGCACGGTTGGCTTTTGCTCTCCTGCATGACTTCAATAAACAGCACAGGGATTTCTGCGCAGGCAGTCTTCCCTGCAAACCTGCTCCCCGACGGCCATGGCCCTCACCACGTTCCAGCCGCAGAGCGACACGAAGTTCCTGTCGCAACAAAAGGAACTTGAAGGACCTGTGGATCAGTGCCCTAGAAAATTCTATTAACTGTCCAAAAAAACGTATGTGGTGTGTGTCTATGTACTTCTGCCGCAGACGCTGCCCCACAAGTCTGACCCCGGCCAGGGAGGACTCACACGGCCCGGCAGATGCTCCTGTCTCCCCGCTGCCCCCCTCAGCAGTGGATTTCAGTCCATCTGCCTGTTCTGCCCCCTGACCCCCATCTCTGGGGAATCCTCACACACACCCCCCACCTCTGGCCTGCATCCCAGTTCTTGTGTGCATAAATAAACAAAATAAAAACAAGGACAGGTCTTGAAAGAGTAGTGCGGAGAAAGGTGGAAGCTTCAGTTACCCCTACTTGGCCTTCAGAGACTACAGATGTGCAGGGCAGAGCCAGCAGCTGTGAGCCGCCCCTCTCCCTCCCGGGGCAGCAGATCTGTCAGAGAGGTTCGAGTAGCAACAGAAAGCTCGTCCCTGGAGACGAGGAGCCCCCACCAGCCCCGGGCAGGCTTCCTGGCCGTGTGGCTCCCAGGTGACCGGCCGCTCCTGCCCGCACTGCGCCGCGCATGGGCGCCGCACGGAGCCTTCCGTGCGCGAGACCCCGCAGCTCCTGTGCGAGGCATCTCGGAGGATTCCCATCGCTGGGCCCCGCACCCGTGTGGAGGCGAGAGCTGGAAGCGGCGGCAAGGCCGGCTGCCGCCAGACCTGTCCTGGGAAGCCCGGATGCCACGGGAGCCACTCTGGGATCTTCAGGGTGACGACACACTCACGTGCCACTGCCCTTGACCGTGGACCGTCAGCAGAAACGACTGCTCACCAGACCCCCAGGGAGCACGAGGATGCAAACCAAGTCTTTCAAAAACTGGCCGACCACTCAGCTTTCCGCCGCGGTGGCCTCTTAGGGGACCATGCCCCTGGCCATTACGGCGGTCACAGCGGAGGACGGCAGGGGAAGAAGGAAGTCACACAGAGCTTGCAGAGATTTTAATTAGGGGGAAGATAGTGTTCTGAGAAACAGCAGAATTACACCTTCGCAGCGAACACATCCACTTAGTTAACTTGGTCAGGCTTCCTGGGGCGTCTGTACCTGTGTTCTTTAGAGCGTGACTATCAAGTGTTTATAAAATGCACGTCACATGAAATGCTTCAATACTGAACATACAATTCAAGCACAACACAATGCAGTCTGGGCTCATGAATACAGTCACAAATCACAGTGATGAAAAATCAACAGCCACAGGCGAGGAGACAGCGCCACACCGCGCTGCCCACGGGCTCAGTGAGGACAGAGCGCAGCTGCGTCCGTTAGTGTCAGCCCTTTGGTACGCGGTGTGGGAGCAGAAAAGGAATTTGCAGATTCCAGTAGTGATATTAAGTTCCCTCCTAATATGGATTACAAATAACAAAGGTTTTTTTAAATAAATTACTAGAAAATTCTGACTTTCCCCTTGGCCATGCGACCTTTAAGTTACGCCAACCGTGCAAATCTCAGGTGCCCCTGGGTGACTCCAGGCGACACCCTGGGCTCCCCCGGCGCCGGGCTGGCGAGCGCGGCAGGGGCCTTTGCGGCTCAGTGACAAGTGTCCACAATCGTGTTTCTTGTAAGAAGCTCAGTTCAAGTCCTAGGAAAACACGAACAAAAACCGAACCTGTACCTTCTGTTTCTTAAAGAGGAAAGCAGCAGTGTAAATGAGGCTTTGACCAAGCAAAAACCATCTTTAAAGTGTCGGGCTGCCTTCCTCTTCCTCCTCAGCTGAAAGGGTGGAGCACAATAGCCACGACTTTGTTACAGACCAAAATCCAACAGGTAATCCCAACACCACCTAAAAAGAAAGGGAGGGAGTCAGCGTGAGCCCCCAGTCGGTCCGGGCCGCACGGCCGTGCCCTGGGGGTACACGTCAGACTGCCCGCGGGCTCTCGAGGCTGCTGCCTGTCCCGGAGGACCACTCGGAACAGCGGCCCTGACTGGGGTCGCCCTCCTGCAGGAGGCGGAGTCGGCCGACGTGGCACTGGCGAGTGGGCCCGTGAGCCCTCTCCGCCTCTCAGGGCACCGCAACGGAAGCAGCGTCCGCCCTTCTGACGTCAGCACGGCACACAGGCCGGGCAGCCCGCACCCTCGGCTGGCCGCCAGAAGGGCAGCACCGAGACCCAGCAGCGGCGCCCTCACGTGGCGGGGGCGTCCGACTGGAAAGCCCAGCGCGTCAGCCCCAGCGGCACGGCAGAGCTCGGCCCTGCACGCCCGGGCGCCTCAGCTGCAGGGTGAGGGCCCAGCCCTGCCCCGGGGAAGAGCAGGTCGGGACAAGCGGGTCGGGACTGCACATAAAGCACAGCTCCTCGAAGCCCAGCAAGGGCTCCCCTAAGCGGGAGACCCGCCGAGACCCCCCCGGGAGCATCAACTCAGGACTGGGAGCGGCGCGATGCTCGGCGGCGCCTGCTCCGGCGTCTCTCGCCATCGCAGGCGTCCAGAGCAGCTGTCCTTCAGGGACCAGAGCGCGGCCGAGGGCCCGTGTGCGCCGCAGAGACGGGGCGTCAGAGGGCGGAGAGGGGCCCGGAACTCGGGGCCAGAGCGCTGTTTCCGTACACGGGGTCTCGGACTCCAGGTCCGGGCTTGAATGCGGACGCAGACCAGGGCTACAGCCAGCTCTGCCACCGACGTGCCGTGACACTGGACAAGCTAGGTGACGTCTCTGGACGTGGTCTCCTCAGCGCCGGTCCTGGGCTCGCGAGTGCCAGCAGCAGAGGGTGAGCGGGGGAGTGCACCGCCTGCCGCGTCGGCCCAAGCAGCAGGCCACGCTCTTCCACTGTGTTCCAGAAAACTTACCTGCCACCCTGGTGGGAAATGCCACCAGACGGTCCAGTGGCGTCATCCACTTGCTCGGCACCACGGCCACGGGGACGGCGTAGTACCTCCAGATGAGCGACACCATCAGGGCAGCCTGCAGAGACACGGCCGGTCGGTGGGCGCCGCCGCACAGCCGCTGGCCAGACAGCGGGCCGGGCCCTCTCCAGGCCCACGGCCGAGACCCCCAGCCCTGCCACCAGCAGGCACACACCGCGGCCACTGCTCACTGCGCGCTCCTGGAACACACGGCGACGGCGGCCGCCGCTGAGCAGCCGTGACACCACACGAGCCGCCCGTCAAGCGGGCCCTGAGGGGCCCTGAGGGGCTGCTCGACGCCACTGGCCTGCACAGCCGGCCTCTCCGCCGAGATGTGAGCGGGGAGGGAGCTCTCTCCCCCTTTCCCAAGCAGCATCCCTCACAGACGGGAATACCCAAAGAAGCGGGCTGACGGGAGGGAGGGCCTCTGGCCCTCGGGAAACCGACGGCCGACCCTGAACGCGTCGCCGCATAAGATCACACTATTCCTGAAGCCGGCCCGCTTTCGGGCAGCCAGGAGCAGAGCCCGCAGAGAGCCCTGGAAATGCAGCGAGTGCACACGGCCGGGTAAGGAAGCCTGGCTCAGGCGCCGGCCTTCCTGAGACCAGGGCGTCCCCAGCTGGGGCGGACAGGGGACGAGCCACAGCCACCACCGTCGGTGAGCCCGGAGACACCCGTCCAAACAGGCTGCTCCCACTCGGCCCCAGGCTCCCCAAACAGCACTGCGAGAGGCCCAGGGCCGCCGCCTTCACGATGACCGCGGCCCGGCCCGGCAGAGCCCGCTCCCCCAGCGTCGCCAGCCCGCCTCCCAGCCCGCGGGCGCGAGGTTCCGAGGGCAGCCCACAGTGGACGCCCGCGACCTCAGGGGACACCACAGCACTTACTTGCAACACGTAGAAAGTGACACTTATCACCCATTTGATCTTGGCCAACTGAGCTGTCCGGGCTTTCACTGAAAGGAAAGGACGGAGTGATTATAGCAGCCACGGCCCTGAGGAAAACAGGCAAGTCCCAGAAACATCGCTTCCTCTTTTGAGACAGTTCCTGACTGTGTCGGTGACATTTGCTCAATGTTCTTAGAAAATGTAAAATGGAATTTCTATGCCATTATTTAAAATAAAGTCACAGAGATTACAGGATTTGAAGTTTTAGCTTGGAAAACCTTAAAACCATTCACCTCACTCAGATTCTTTTCACAGAACACTTGCGAAGGGGGCCACGGTCTCCGCATCACCCGGAGCCGCGTGCGCCGCTCCTCACGCACCCCGGGAGCACGCCCAGGGGCGCGGCCCCAGCCCGGAGGCGCGGCGCGGGGGCAGTGAGGTCTGGCCTCTTCTGGAGACGCCCTAGGGTCAGTGCCGACTCCACTACGAGATTCTCTCTGAAGAGCGTCGAATTTGAAAATGACGACCAGCAGTGCTAACACCGCTCTGAAGGACCCCCGAGGATGCCAGACGCTTCTGTTTAGGGAGCAGAGTCCCACCAAGGAGACAGTAACCATCAGTACTGGGTTTCCCCGGCCAACTTCAACGCTCCTATCGACATCTGAGGCAGCGAAGACTCAATGGCCGTGCTCTACCCACTTCCCATCAGCCTCACCCACTAGCCAGCCTGGCGCGCCGCCCCGCGCTGAAACCCGTACCGTGCGTCTTGAGCTTGTCTGTCATCTTGTTGATCTTTCTTTCCAGCCTGGCGTATCTGGCGAATTCGTCCATCATGTTGACGGTAGACAGCTCTTGCTTCATGTCCTGGATCTCGGCTCTCATCTGTGACTCCTGCTCTGCATCCTTCTGCAGCACCCTGGACATCTGGTGGAGGGGTCAGCGGCTCGGTGCCCCTCCTCGGCGGCACATGTCCCCCGCCCCACCAGCCTCCCCCTGACTGGCCGACTGCCCGCCCCCAGGGCGGCCCTGCTGCCATGTCCTGCTCCGTTCCCACGGCAAACCAAAAGCGCCCTGCAGCTGGAATCACACTGCTCAAGCTGCGCTTCCCTCTGAGCCTGTGGGCGCAGTGGTGCGACTGTCTGTCTCTTCCCCAGCAGCGTAAAGCTGGAATGGCAAAACGAAAACCCACCAGACCCCAGAGCTGTCACTCAGGCACCAAGAACCTCGCACCTGAAGAACTCAGTCCTAAATGAAGTGGCCAGGGCAAGGTGGGGATGCAGGGTGCCCGAAGCCATGGTCACAGGATGGAACCCAATAGGAGGAGCTGGTGCTGGGCAGCCACTGGCCACTGTGGACGCACCAGCCCAGGTGACCAGGGACTCAGGCAGAAGCACACCTTCCAGTGGCCAACACTGGGCTGTGAGTGTAACTCCTCTGCTCATGTAGAAATTGTTTAACGGAGCAATAAAAAAGGCAAAAGGGGGCAGTCATTGGAGCCTTGAGTCTGTGCAACCTGGGGGAGCCAGGCGGAGGCCAGAGAGAGCGGCACGGGTCCCGGGGCCTTGGGAGGGAGGGCCTCCACGCCACTGCCTCTGCCAGCCACGCGGGGACCTGACCACTTGCTGACACCAAGGAAAGGCCAGCCACTCAGCTGGGCCCACCCTGGAAAGCCCACCCTGAGGAGGAAATTCAAACCCAATTCTCTTTAAAATTCATAGAATCGCCTTTCAAGAGCAAGGAGTCTACAGATGTTGCTCAGACTATAGCACAATGAAGAGGCGTAAGTGAGGGAAAGGCTCTCGGACGTGCTGGAGATACGGAACATGAAGATCATCCAGTTGCCCTGGCACAGCCGTAAACTCCACTGAATGCAAATTACGCATCGATAAACCTGACTTTTAAATCTAAACTTCAAGAAGAAAACAAAAGTGTTTAGCATCAGAGACGACACAAAACAACTGAAAACTTGAAGAGGCCTCCGTGAGTGAAGGCAGGAGAGTGACCTTAGGAACTGGAGTTCTGTGCTGGAAGCAGACAACCACAGAAATAAAGAATCCATTACATTTCGAAGTACCATCAAAATGCTTCCAGAGGCGTGAACAGGTGCCAACATAAGCCCAAGTCTTCCATGAAGTGATGAACAACGTGTGCTAGGATCAGGAACTCAACTGCATGATTTGATGAGATCTGGATTTAAATATATTTTGAAGGTGAATCTTCAAAATAAAAAACTTCTGAGGGCCTGTGGACTCAAAAGCACTGCCCAGGCCAGGCAAGCTCTGCAAGGCACGGACTTTCTGGGCCTCGGACTGGGCCATGAAGAACTGAGGCAGCCACTGAGCTCTGAAAGCGCATCAGGGTGACTGGGGCAGGGGGTCTGTCACCAGCCTGGGACCGGACCCGGCCTGTGTCCCCCAGCAGCTGCCTCGTCCTGTCTGAGTTCCACCCTGCGTATGCCAACAGACGAAATGCTGGGCCTCGACAGGCGGGTGCACGGGGACCCCCCACTGGCCGGCATTGCAGCCCCAGACCCTCCTGAAAACCAGTGCCTAGGGACACCTGCAGCCTCGGCACGTCCCTCCTGAACAGTGGGCCTGCTTGGGCGTGTGCCAAGCTGGGACAGAGGTGAGGAAGGCTCCTGAAGCAGGGCAGAGCTTCGCTGCCCCACAGGCCACTGGGCTGGGCAATCGCGTGGCCTCCTTGGCCACTGTGCTCATCACGTTCCAGTTTCCCAGCCTGCCCACTCCTGTGTGGGCTCTTCACCAGCTACTGGCCGCAGCAAAGGTAAAGGAGTGTAGACCTTGCAAAAGAAGGGAGTTACAAAGACCCTGAGGCTGGTTCAAACTGCAGCTGCGGGCACAGGCGGACCACAACCTGAGTGGCCCCCAGCCCCCACCAACGGCCAAGCGGTGGCCGACTGGAGCCCACAATCAGCAGCAGGGGCAGCCCGACAAACACACCGGCGTTGGTCAAGGGCACCTTCCTTGTTCTGGCGGCCAACAGCTAAAGTACTTGTTCTCACCAGCTCCCCCCCCAAAAGCCCTAACATCTCAACCCCGGAGCCGAAAGGGCGCTTTCCTCTACCCCCCCCCAATCAACAAATGTCAACTGTTTGCCTGTTCTCATCATGTCTGTTCTCTCAGCGGGGAGCGAAGGCCCCCACGGGCCCCTACACCCACCTTTGCTGCTGGCCAGGGTCCATTAGCTCCGGGCTTCTCCAGCTGTGTTGCTGGAGGGTGAGCGAGTCTGAGGGTCCTCCAGGCCCAGGAAACTGCCCAGACCACTGCCCAGTGCCAGCCAGGGACAGCCCCTGCGTCCCCAAACACGGACTGCTGCTGGAGCCTTAGGTTCTGCACGCACCCTGGCCACACCTGCTTGAGGCCCTGCTGCACCTCCCACCGACCCCCTGGTCACTATCTAAATTAACACTTGAGGGGCGTCCTCCACCTGGTGTGAGGCTCCAGCGCCCCTGGGAAGGGGGAGGCGCTTGGGAAGACTCCACAGGGCACCCCCTGGGGAAGGGCGCTTGCTACTTTAAGTGCAGATTTCAACGAGAAAGTGGCCTGTCAGTCCTCAAGCTCAGGACGGGCAGCCTGCGCCCCGCAGGTGCCCAGGTCCACCCGGCAGACGGAGTGGCGGGGCC